GTAATGCATCAATTTCTTCCCGCATTGCATCTGTCCATTCAGGTTTAGATAAAGCTTCTACCACATTCTTAGGAATGTGGACACTGTCCACAGAAGAGAGGAATGCACAGAATGAAGGTGAAATGTGATCATAGGACACAAAATTAGAGATAGGATGATTAGTGGTAYAAGATCTAACATCCTTTCTCTTAGCAATAGGAACATCGAGATCATTGATGACAAGGGAATCAACATTGAGAGGAACAAGCATATCAATAGGAGTAAGTGTACCTGGTTGATGAGACGGATCTGCCTCTAGCGAATCCGATGATGTTGGTTGCATAGTGTCAGGTTCCACGGCTCTTGAACTCTGCTAGCTTTTATGGCGACGATGAAAGACCCGGAATGGAGGAGGATTGGGTAAAGGAGGTAGTTGAGTTTGAGCCGCCTGTTTCTCCTCTCCCCCTGAGGAGAGACCGAGAAGAAAGGTTGATTCTCAAAGAAGGGTACATCAATGGAGACATAGTACTTGCGAGAGGTAGGATCATAGCAACGATACCCCTTTTGAGATAAAGGGTAACCAAGAAAAACACAAGGAATAGCCATCAAGCTTACCCCGAGTAGGGGACAACTTATGGACAAAGCAACGACACCAAAAAACACGCATTGGAATGGTGGACAACAGAGCTGTAGGGAACAAAAGCTGATGTGGGGCCTTATACTCTAGTAATCGAGATGGCATACGGTTGATGATGTATGTAGCACATAAAACTACATCCATTCAAAAACGTTTTGGCACATTCATATGAATTAATAAGCCACGAGCTACTTCGAGAAGCTGACGGTTCTTTCGTTCAACAACACCATTTTGTTGGGGTGTCCTGGCACAAGAGCTTCGTTGAAGTGACCCGCTTGAAGCAAAAAAAACTCCGTGAGATCACTATGGAAGTATTCCTTCGCATTGTCCGACTGGAAGATATGGATTTCAGTTTGGAACTGAGTGAACACCATGCGTTGAAAGTCTTCATAATTTTTGGCACTTCATCTCTAGATTGCATAGCGTAAACCCAAGTGTATCTAGAGTAATCATCAATCAAGGTAATGAAGTACTTATATCCAGCCTCAATGGGTAGAGTAATAGGGCTCCAAACATCAGAATAAACAATATGAAATGGAAATTCAGATCTTTTATTTCTCAAAGGTAAATAACTTCTACAATGTTAAATCAATTGACATGTCTGACACTGTAACTGACTCACTGACAAGGACTCAAACAACTTTGGGAACATAACTTTTAATGACTCAAAAGAAAGATGACAAAGACGACTATGCCATAAATAGGCTTGACTCTCACTAGACAAACTCATGGACTCTGTAGCCACAAGACCAGCTTTATTCTCCAACACGTAGAGACCATCCACCATGCTTCCTCTACCAATCGTTTTCTCCGAGGCCAAATCCTGAAACACACATGAAGATGGAAAAAAAAGTGACTGAACAGATCAAGGAGTGAGTTATACTACTAATGGACAACAAATTCATAGGTAATTTCGGAACATGCAGTACATTAGAAAGGGTAAGGCCGAGTGGGAGAGGTATGGTACCTTGGCTAGCTATGGTAGAGAAAACCATCAGCTAGTCTCACCTTATCTCTCCCAGAGAGAAGGTTATATGTCTAAAATAAATCTGACTTACCGGTCATGTGGTTTGAGGCTCCGGAGTCAATAACCCAAGGAGAATCAGTGGTATGAGATGACACATGGAAGGCAGTGGCAGCGTTACCTGATGTAGACGCGAAAGAGGTAGAGGGAGTAGGACCAAAATCAATCTGGCGAAGAGTCCTACCATACAATTCCAAATGGTCACGAAAAGAGTTGATAATTTCTTCCTTAGGGTCAGAACTGGGGTGCCTCTCCTGAGTTACCAATGGACTAGTCTCCGGCAACGCCATATTAGCTGAGTTATACTTTTTTTTATTCTGCTGACTTGGTTTCTTGCCCTGATCAGGTGTTGACTTCTTACCCAAATCCTGTGCCCATTTAGGTTTTCTATGGAGATTCCAACATGTATCTCTAGTGTGTCTTGTCTTCTGGTAGTGAGTGCACCAAAGTTTACTCTTATCATCTGTTCTCTTCTGAGAGTCACCTTTCTTAAAAGCACCTCCGACATTTGTATCTGAATTTCCCCGGACAGCTAGGGCAACTGACTCCCCTTCTACACAATTCATCACACTTCTTCTACTCTCTTCTGACTGCACTAAGGCATACACCTCCTGAACTGATGGCAATTCTTTACTACCCAAGATCTGCACCCTGATGGACTCATATGAAGGATTCAGCCCTAGGAGGAAGGCAAAGACYCRTTGYTGAGATRCAAGTRACTTRTACGYCTTTGCATCTTCATCACACTTYCAATTCACATTCTGGTAGTGATCAAGTTCTTTCCATATCGATGTCAAATCATAATAGTACATCAAGAGACTCCTCTCCCCCTGCTTGCAAGTAGAGGATTCAGCTTGCAGTTGGTATATCTTAGCATAGTGTCTCTGCTCCGAATAGGTGGACTTTGCTTGTTCCCATATCTCACAAGCAGTTTCAGCCCACATAAGTCTTCCTTGCCTGTGGCAGCATGGAAACCAAGAGCCATGACATCACCATACTATTCTCTTGGTTCCACCTATCTTCAGCACTTCTGTTCTTCGGTTCCTTCACGCTCCCATTGATGTATCCTATTTTCCCCCTAACAGTGATGTAGAATTTTATTCCCCTAGACCACTCAAGGTAGTTCAGACCATCAAAGGGAATAACAACCATGGGGAAATTCATATCCATTCCCCCGCTCACTCCATTGTGGCTCCCTGAAATCTCTGAAGTAGCAGAATTCTCAGACATGATTAACACAAGGTTTTTTTATCTAAACTCTCAACTTAGGATCCCTCCTTATATCGACAAAAGCTCCACACACAACAATTCAGTTCTGGACTTAATCTGAGCACAAAAAACATCACCAATTTCCAAAGAAGAACTATGACGAGACTGATTTTCAGATCTGCATGAAACAGTCCCAGCCTACTGGACATCTATGACTTAATCTAAGTTCCACCACAACATTAATCAATAAGAGAGATCCTAACACACATGAAATCAGATTAACGAGCAGAGAAAACAGGTCATCTATGACCTACAGTCACCTTTTCATAGGTACAAGATCACACGATCCAACAAATAAAAAATATAACCCTCACAAAAGTCTGCCGACATTCAGTGGTTTGGATTCATTTGTTTTGTTCTCCACTTGGTACACGACCAAGTGAAAGAAATAAAAGAAGAAAGAAAACTTTAGGGTTGTACCAGTTGCAGATCTGATTTGATCAGCCCAGATTCAGTCCTCTGTTCCGCCCAGATTCAGCAACTTGAAGAGAAAAAAAACTTGGTCGCCTAGATTCAACAGCCTTGCTCTGATACCATCTTGGCAATAAATCCGATTAAAATATGAGGAAGTAGAGAAGAGAAGGGAGGAAGAGAGAAAAGGAGAAGAAAGAAAGGAAGAAGAAAAGGTTTGGAGCAATAGAAAAGTGCTGGTGGGGCCAGCTTCTATTATATTATATAGGGCGGCAGAAATAAGAAGGAAAATGACCCTTGTGCCCCTGCTGTAAGTGAGTACAATAACAGAAATAACAGAAAATAAAAAAATGCTTTAACTAGCCAAACAGACCCTAACACAAATAACTAAATTATTTCACCAAGCACCTTGGAACGCATAGATCACAAACCCAAAATCCAAAACAAAGATCACCCCAATAGGACAACAGAGAAAAGTTATGGCCTCCGAATGATTGCATATAAATTGAAACTTGTAACTCGTGGCCCATTGGACTGGGTCAAGTGGGTCAATGGTTCACTGCCCAGGATGACCAGGTTTTTACCAAGTCAATGGTTTGTTTTTAAGCTGCTTACAGGTTTGAGGTTGACCCGAACCAGAATTATGGCCAGGAGACAGTTTTAATGGTCTGACCAGCCAGGTCAACAACAGTTTGCGAACACTAGTCTAAACAATAAATAACAAAAACAACAACAACAACAACAATAATCACAAGAATAAGATTTCATGTGATCGCATCACAATGGCATACAAAAATGCTAAGCAACATAACTTAGAAACATGCATCAGAATGGTATCTTGTTATGCAAAAGAATTAAGCTGAAATACTGATTGTGTATCTTACAAGAGAACTATAATTTCTAGGAGCGTCCACGGTTCGGATAACCGAACCATGGGCAGTTTTTGCAAACTGAACCGGTACCACCGGTTAACCGGTCCGTCGGTTTTGGTTTTTGACCGGTTCAGTTCTTCGGTTTTTTTATATTTATAATATATGTTACATAAATATATGTATAATATTATATTATAAATAATAAATGATATATAATATATGTACATATATATATAATGAATATATATTTATATATAATATATATAAAATATACATATAAATATATACCGGTCGGTTCGGTTAACTGCATTTTCCGGTTCAGTTTTTCAGTTTTTTCATGGACACCCCTAATAATTTCAATAGTTAAATCTTGAACTAAGCATGCTGAACAGGGGGTCATATCCCACTTTTTTCTCCAGTCCATAGAGTTTATAAACCTAACATATATCTGTATCAGTATTAATGCTAGCACTTTTAACAGTTCCAAGATTGTTAATACATAGCCAAGAAGCAACAAAAAGCGTGTGAAACATACTCTACAATACATGCAACTAAGTCGGGCTTTCTTCATGGATTCTACAAGAGAAAAAGCTAATAAAGGCCCATAAGTTGATTGCTGATAATTTAAGATTTAGAACTATTCAGCTATACATGAACAGAATGAGCTTCATGACAACAAGTAAGAGATGGTACACATAAAACCATTATCCATACCTCTCCACCGAAAGGCAAAGTCACTCCAGTAGTAGGCAGAGCCACTCCATCCTGAAAATCAGATAGATAGTTTCAAGGTTCTATTTTTCTAATTTGGCCAATAGAAAATTCATTTTAAGTGGGAAAACAAGTTAGTGACTAGGGAATTGGAAGGTGAACACAGCATTGTACTTCAGTCTGTGATTTCGACTTTGATAAGATTCACCTACTTAGCAGTTGACAAACAGGTATATTCCAACTTTTAAAATGCCAAGTTGTTTAATAACTAAAGAGGCATGCCCACCAAATAAAATGCGCTGGCCCTTGTTTATAAGTAGGGTTATAAAAAATAAAAAATAAATAAGTTATAAGAAATAGGATCTTTCTCTTACCTCAATGCAGATGATTGATGTAACCTGAGCACCAATGTTCACAACACATACAGTTGATAAGCCATTACCAAAGGCTGCAGCAAGACCTTCCTGGTCCAATGGTGCTAAGATTATTAAATATTCAGAATCATAAACATAACAGAAGGTTAAGTATATTAAAATTCTAGCAAATTTGTTGCAGAGGGAACCACTAGAAGGAGAAAAATTAAAAGCATGAATAACTGAAATGCAGGTTGCAATACCACTTCTATAAAATTGCATGATAGTCCTTATGTTAAGTATATTAAAATTCTAGCAAATTTGTTGCAGAGGGAACCACTAGAAGGAGAAAAATTAAAAGCATGAATAACTGAAATGCAGGTTGCAATGCCACTTCTATAAAATTGCATGATAGTCCTTATGTTAACAAAACAAAAGATGGAAAATATGAGAATAAATGACAATTGCTACATAAAATGGTTTTCACGAAAAAAAAACTACATAAAATGATAGTCCTTGAAAGAGGTAGCAGGCAGCCTTTACCGAGCTACTCTCTTGCAAACCCTTGGAAAGGTATCCTCCAAACTCTGAACACCTTCACTCCCTTCACTAGATTTAAACTATGCAATGGTAATCAAATTAGATTCCAGACTGACCTCTARTGGGGCAATAAACCCCTATCAGAATCTTTCTCTTCTTTACTCTTGCTTGCCCGTGATAAACAAGCCCTCATATCCTCAACCATCCTCAAGGAAAACCAGATCCTCCTACAATTTCAACTTCCATAGAACCTTGAGAGATGCCAAAATTTTGAATGTCTCTTTACTTATAACCTCAATTTCTGATGTCTTCATCTCCCTCTCCACCCAAGATAAGCTAGTTTGGTCCCTCACCCCAACTGGCCAGTTCTCCACCAACTCTTACTTGCATAAACTTAGAACTCACCCCTCCTCCTTCCTGAACAAAAGGATTCGGCACCTCATCTCCAAATTTCTTTCTTTTGTTTGGGAAGTAACTTGTGGCACATTGAACACTTGTGATATCTTGCAGAAGAAGCTCCGGGGACAGAGGTGCATCTCACCCTGCATATGTCTTATGCTATATGGATGGGGACTGATTGGTCACCTTCTCATTAACTGCCAGTTTGCAAGAAACCTTCAGAAAATTTTTTCTAGATTCAACTCATGATGGCAGCTATAGTTGCGCCCCCCGCGCAAATTCAGTTTGCAAGTTCATTGTCCAACGGCACAACAATAGACTGGTAAAAACAGGAAGGTTATTTTGGAAAGCTGTTATTGACTCCCTAGCAACCCCCTACTGAAGTTATCCTCCTCCCTAGGCAGGACAGTGCTTTCATACTGCAGTTTGATGGCAGTTTTAGATCTCTTGACTCCCATTCAGCAGCAGGTATCGGAGGCATCACCCAGAACTTAAATGGTGATACTGTGTGGGTTTATAGTGGCCCTGTCACAGCTACAGATGCTTCTAAAGCAGGGACCCACTCCCTTCTTGAGGCTCCAAGGACTGCCAACTGACTCCACATTAATTCCTCAGCTGTTGAAGGTGATACCAGAAACACCACCAATTGGGCCAAAGCACAGGATAAAGGGCCTTGGAGGGTTGCTCACCTTTTCTTTGAAATACATGAACTATCTTCTTTGCTGAACTGCAACTTCAGATGGATTCCCTGTGAGTTCAATCATACAGCAGATGGGTTAGCTAAGTTAGGTTTGAGAAGGGATTTTTTTATATAATGCTGACACAATGCTTACTTAATTGTTTGAGCCTTCTTTTTGGTCTCTTTAGGCCCTTTGTTGTACATCTCTCATATACATCCTTTTCAAATACAAATTATCTATTCTCAAAAAAAAAAAAAAAATCCATAGGGCTGTGTTTCATTGTGATGTAAACACTAGATCAGTGCACTAATGCACTCCAGGTCGGTTTTGGTAAGAGCATGAAAATGCACCAAAAATCAAGGTAAAAATGTAAACTTCTCAGGGATTACCTCGATTTTGGGTGTAACTTTTACTTCAATAAAATCGAAGTAAATGTTTCCTCTCTTCTTTCATTGAGCAAAATAGGCAGTAATTTTGCTTTTATCCTCAGGCATCTTCCACGGAACTCCACCGTTGGCAACAGCTGGAAAAGATTTCTTGACCAAGGAATCAAAGATCTTGTGGCATTGACCGAGATCTCTTCCATTCGTAGCACTTCGATTTTCTGAGAGAAGAGTCCCTTCTTCCAGATCTGGTCACGGCAATGGGATATCTCCGTTGATCCCTAAAGAATGCCAATCTTCTTTCAATGGCATGAAGATCATCTGCATTTGATCTGAAGCATCACCATCATGATGATATTCACAAAGACTCCCATCACTCAGTTGAACTTCTCGATGGTAGATCATCGTGAAGGAAAACCAACAATGGAAGATATTCTAGGAGACTCACATCTGGTTTGAATCAATGATGGGAGATCACCCTGGGTTTACATCGCTGTTCATAGTTCTCTGCAACAGAGGTTTTTGTGGGTTTCCTCTGTAAACTGATTTAGATCTGAAATCTCTGTCAGTGGTTGCTCAAACTTCAGAATGGTTAACAGAGGAAAAGCCCCGACAATTTGCCTCTCCACCAATGTTGTCAAAATCTTACAATTTACGATACAGTTCACGATTTGAATCATGAATCCCAAGGGTTTCGATTCGAATCATATGTCCGAATCCTTTTCTACAAAAATCATACGAATTTTTTTGGATCCTATGATTTGATTCATAAATCTTACAATTTATACAATTCGTTACGATTCAAATAAATTAAATTAAGAATCAGTTCTCTTCTTTGTTATGTTTTTGTTTATATTTTGTTTTGTCAAGGGAGATTTTTTTAAGCCCTTACTAGAAAATGCTTTATTTACATTATTTAAGACTAGAAATTGAGTTTATTTTCCATCATATGTGGGTTAAAAAGCCATTATATGTGGATTTGTCTGACTTTCAAGTCAAACTTGATTATATCATCTCAGGATTCTATTGTATAAGTGATAAATTCTATTATTTTAGGTATATATATGGTATATATAGATTCAAAGTAGGGTAAAGTCACTTTCCTATATATATTTAGCCTTTTAATATATCTATATTTAATTTTTTTGACAAGTTTATAAAAAATAGAAATAATCTTACGATTTACAATACGATTCACGATTTGATTCGATTCAACTTTCTCTACGATTTATGATACGATTACGATTTTCAAAACCTTGCTCTCCACCCATTGGCGCTGTAAGACAGTGGAGATTTGCTACTTCACTGTTGTTTTTCAATGATTGTTCATTGTCAAATAGGGGTACTGCTCTTCACTGTCAGCAGGAAATATGATGTCATTTGCAGTGATCATTTCCAAACGGAAAGAGTGCAAAGTGGGCATGGAAAATGAACCCAAATTGCATTCACTGAACCAGGGTAGGTGGAAAAAAGGAGAGTACACATTTGTGTTGCATCACAACCAAATGCAGCCTAACTAACGATATTTGTTTCTGAAGACAATGAGTATTGCACTTTAGAGAATGGAGCAATATAGAAATATAAAACTAAATAGTGAATACACAGGTGAAAAAAGTAAACGGTCTCTAACTTTAGAGTGAACTAGAGCTGTGCAGGCTCAGTTCAATCTCCCAAGCCCAACCATCTAGTTTAGACCTGGACTTCACCTTTGGGGCCCTTGCTTGAGGCCAGTGGACCTCTTAAATTGGCCCATATTTGCCTCTAGTCTTGGTAGTAGAATAAAAGAGGCTAGAAGAGAATACTCCAACAATTCAATAAAAAATATTTTTTGAGAAAAGGTAACAAAGACTTCATTGAAATAAAGAAGGGTACATGAGAAGATGTACACAAGGGAAAAAGAGACACAAAGATTACAAAGGAGAAATAAAGAAGAGCATATAAGAAAATATTTTTGTGCTTTTTATTTCACTAGCAACACCATTGAACTCTTTCCCTCAATGCTTAAAGTTGATTAGATGATACCTGGTGAACCACTGCAGAGCTAAACCGCAAGTCCCGCAATACAATTGACAGCATCTCCTTTATTTCTATTGATAAAAATAAATATATTGAATTACAAAAAGGAAGTGGAGTAACACCAAGGATCAAAGTATCTATATAGGGTATCGTATCAGATAACTTAGATACGGATACGCTTTGGAAATGCATGGATACGAATGAAAGATATAGAAACACTTGGATATGCTAGTGAAATGCATACAAATCACATAAATACATTAATCATACTAAACCAAAAGCTGAATTATCTATGAATAAGATTCAAACACATGAGAAATGCATACTTCAATAGGTTATATGAAGAGAAATATTACAATAAATAATACCATGACTCTAGAACAATCAAACGTTGTACAATAATTATCACTCTTTCAATTTTATAATTATAATCTTCAATTTTTATTAATTTTTGGCAATATTTATTAATTTAGTATTTTAAATAACAACCATTTTTTAAATAATAAATATGTTTTCATTTTTAGCATATAATGTTTTTATTGTACACATAATTGTAAAATAAAACTAATAAATCATTTAGGGTAGACAAAATAAATTATATTTAATTTTCAGTTTTTATTAAGTTTTTTTGGAAAATTAAATCTTAAATTATTAATTTCAGTTTTTATAATTATAATTTTCTGTTTTCCACTAATTTTGTTGGGAAAATTTATTTATTTAGTATTTTTATAATAACTCTATTTTTTCAAATAATAACTATGTTTTCATTTTTAACATATAATTGTGTAAAATAAAATATATAAATCATCTAAGGTAGATGAGATATATTATTTTTATAATTTTTAGTTTTTATTAATTTTTTTGCGAAAATTAAATCTTAAATTATTTTAGTTTTCGTATGACTATTTTTTAACTTGTATTAAAGATGAAAAACAATCCAAAAGTACCCAATGTATAATTTTGTCAAACTAGACAATGGATACACCTCCATATCAGTGTGTATCAGACCGTATGGTGCGATGCAGCCTGATACGGAGGCGTATCATACTGATACGCACAACTCGTAGGGATACGTATCCAGTCGTAGCGTATCTTGTATCCATAATCAATGAATACAGATACAATACACCCCGTATCGGGAGTATCGTATCGATACCTTAATCCTTGAGTAACACTCAGCAGCAATCACATTTTCAAGTCATACCATGTTCTTAACCAAATAACAAGCAGTAATTTCCTTTTCTCTTTCCATAAAGAAGATCATAATGTAAAGAAACTATAGAAAATAAGCATAAGATGAGAACAAACACATTGATGGGGTTTCTATTATATACCCAAAAAGTTGTCCAGTTCCAATTATTACCATACAAATTTACCATTAGCATCAACCTCTCCATAAAAAAAAATAAAAAAATGCAAGATCCTAGATACCAATCAGAGTAATGAGTCTTCTAGTTAATGTACATCAAGGAGTTTAACTTGATTAACGGGCATCAAGGCATTTTGAAGATGCTTCACCCACAGACACACCTCAAGGCTTAAGCATCATGCCTCAAAAAACTATGGTCCATGATCAAAACAATAATTTCTATGAAAAGGTCTTATCTGTTTGGTCTAATGAAAATGATAAAACAAAAGATCCCAGTTACTAGTCAAGGCATCTATCATCAACACAGTTTGTGAAGCCTAAACTTGAAGGTACACTTTCAAAAACATGCTTAGATCAACATTGCCAGAACCATTAAGGCACCAGTCTATAAATAAAATGACAGATTTGATCACACTAAGAGTGTAAGGTTGGGTGCAAACAAGGGAAGAATTCAAGCCTTATAAAGCTGACATCATTATGACAGGATGGCAGAACAATTTTTCTTTATTTACTTTGAGATCTATCATCCAACAAGCTTGGTAACTGCATTTACTTCATAAAACCAAACTCAATTCTCATGGATGCAGCCTCAGTAACACTGAAAATCCAGGCACTGGACTACTGGAGGACTTTTCAGAAATTCAAGAGGTGAAATTCTTACAAGTTACACAGGCCCACTTGGGATATGTAATTCACTTCAAGCTGAATTACATTCAGTTTTACAAAGATTAAGGTTGGCTTTGTCCTCAGGCTATTTAGAACTTGAGGTGGAAGGGGACTCATCTCTTATAATTGGGTGGTTAAAGGGTGAGGAGACTGATTCTTGGGTCCATTATCATTACATGAGGGAAATTAACTCCAATTATATCCAGATTAAACACCTTGTTTAAATGAATTCCTAGGAGTTCCAGCTGTTCTGCTTATTCTCTTGCTAAGGAACCAATTGGAAAATTTTATATTGGGGTCCTGATTCGGAAGGTATACAATCATACAGAGTGTTTGTAGCTTGGTTCTTTCATGCATATGCACTGAACTCGCTAGCTGATTTTTTTTTTTTTTTTGACAAGGCAAACAACCATACAGACTATAGTGTTTGCTAGCTGAATTCGGCTAAGCTTGTAAGTTTTTTTTTTTCACCAGTTTTAAATTTGAAAAGAAAAATGAGTAAGAAAGATCACCATAAAAAGGAAATCACGACACAAAGTATGAAATTTTATGGCAAAATTAATATAGATGCAAAGACAAAGAGAATATTAGAGATGTAATACTTCTTCAGCAAGAAAAAGGTCTCTTCACTATTTTTCTTAGTCGTTGGTGGATTAATTCTATATAAATTTTTTGTAAGATAAAAATAACTAGATCATTTCTGTGAGCAAAAGAAAAAAAAAATAAATAAACCATTTCAACCATGCTTTTCTTCCTAGATTGGATAAATAATCTAAATGTATATTATTAAAGCAAAGTACAAAAATGTACAATAAAGGCTATCAACCAACAATATAGGCAATAGAGATGTAAAGTGGGTTGTGCTGCCTACAAGCATGCCAGGGTTGGGTTTTGAGGCCCACGGACCAAAACAGAACGCCACGATAAAGTGGGTTGTGCTGGCATGACCCACCACCCAGCACAGCACGACAAAGCCCGCATAGCAGCCCGGCACGTCCCACACACACACATTTAATAATATGTATATATTTAATAATATATTTATTTATATTTTTAATAATATGTATATGTATATAAAATTTTATTTTCAATTTTAGTATACTATTTAATTCCAATTTTATTGTAATATTTTTCAATTTCATTTTATTATTTCATATATAAACAATTTTTTATCAACAAAGGAGGAATTTTATTAATTTAATAACAGATTACAAGTACTTTAGCTACTCTTCAGTCTAGAGTATAACAATATAGAAAGGTCCCAGAATACAAGGCTCATCAACCCTCTATATTAACACAGCCAGCTACAGCTTTTCCCAAAATAGAGAAGGCCTATCAACTCCCTGTTTTGCTAGAGTGTCTGCCAATCCATTTGATGTCCTTTTAGTCCACCCAAATGTAGAGTTAAAGCTCTTAGCCAATAAGTCAATCTCCCTAATTGCAAATCTATACTTCCAAGGTGCTAAGTTTACTTTCTTAGCCCAACAGATGATCAATAGTGAGTCCCCTTCCACATCCAACTCTCTAGCTTCTAATTGCACTGCTAATTTCAAGCCTTGCAAGAGTGCCATTATCTCTGCCTGAACCAAGTCTCCATACCCAATTGGTCTTGAGAACAAAGCCACAATTTCTCCATAATGATTTCTGAAAACTCCCCCTATTCCAGCCCTCCCTAGGTTCCCAGAGGAGCTACCGTCAAAGTTCAACTTCAATTTATTTGCCTCTAAAGGTTTCCAATCCATCTTGATGTTGAACAGTTTTTTGTATGCCCTTAGCTTCAATTAGTTTTGATGTACTTTTGATATTTAATGTAAATAAATGAAGTACATGTTTGATTCATGTTGTGTGGTATA